CATTTGTGCTTGGATGGTGTTAGATCGTAGGCCTAGAATGGCTGGTTACTGGAAGTTCAATTTGTCTTTACTGGACAGGCGGGACTTCCAGGAGCAGCTAACTAGCTTAGTGCAGCTGGAGCTAGTGGGGGCGGTTATCAGGAATAAGTGGGGGGATAGACTTAAGTGTAAGATTTCAGCAAACGGCTCGCCCTAAATAGAGCTGATAAGATGAAAACGCTTAAGGCTAGTCTTTCCCGGGCAGTGGCTGGGGGATCCCTTTGAGATAGCCTTAGCTAGGGATGCTGTGGAGCGTTCAAATAACGAGCGCTACATGGGCCAGGTAATTAGACATAGGTTAAGCAAGATGTCTTCCGAAGCTGTGAACATGGGCACAGAGTTTCGCAAGGAAGAGATTTGTCAAGGTTTTGATCGTTACATTCGTGAAGTCGATACCACTGAGGGGCATACTCTTCGGGTTACTGACGACATGTCTGAGGCATTTCAGCAGCATTTTGAGAGCCGCTTTACCAAGGAGCCTGGTCTTCGTGAGGACAAGTTTTGCAGTTATTTGGCTGACTTTCCTCAGCTTTTGCCAACTGAAGTGGTTAGCTGCGAGGGAGAAATCATGGACAGTGAGGTCTACGTGGCATTGAAGAAGGTCAGCAGAGGCAAGTCACCTGGTCTGGATGGTTTGCCCTATGAATTGTACTTAAGGCTGTCGCACATCTTTGTCCCGATTTTGGCAGTATTGATCAACAACTGGTTCCGGCAGAGGTCCCTCCCCGACTGGTTCTCCAGGGGTGTGATCACGCTGTTGAAAAAGGGCAAGGGTGTTGGGGGGAAACTAGATGATTACAGGCCCATAACTCTGCTAAACAAAGAGTTAAAGATTTTGGCCAAGATCCTGTAGGAGCGTTTGCAGTCAGTTGCTGAGTCTCTGTTGGGTCCGGAGCAGACTTGCTCTGTGAGGGGCCGAACAATTCAGAGCAATCCACACGATCATAGAGGGTGTAAAAGACGACAATGAGGCCGCGCTGATTAATTTAGGTCAGTCCTAGGCATTTGAAAGGGTTGACTATCACTACCTTGTGACTGTTCTGGAGGCTGCCAGATTCGCACCCGACTTCTGCCACTAGATTAGCCCCTGTATCGCTCTCCCATTGCTGTGATACAGGTATCTAAGTCGGTTCGCCAGGGTTGTCCACTGTCGCCCCTACTTTATGCTTTGGCATTGGAGCCTCTCCTTCACCAGCTGAGAGACAGGGCGTGAAGTCCAGCTCTACGCGAAACCACTGTTCCTGGAGGGTCTCGAGCAGGGTTTCCGCGTACGCCAATGACGTATCTGCTTTTGTGTTGTCCTGCAGCGACATTGAGGCGGTACTGAAGGCACTTGATCAGTATGAAAAGGTGACAGGGGCCAAGATTAACCACGAAAAGTCGTCCAGCTTGTGGTTAGATGCCCAGAAGGGGGTTGATCTTCTGAGGCCCTTCAGTTGGACAGACAGTTGTGTCCACATTCTTGGAGTGTGGTTTGGACCTGACCTCTAGCTGGAGAAAAATTGGTCTGAAGTACAAGCAAAGGTCGACGCTGCTGGTCAGACTTGGCATCGACAGAAGGTTGTCCATGAAGGGCAGGGTGGAGGCGTGTGCCACTTACATTTTCCCTCTGGTCCTTTATCAATTGTCTGTACTTCCTCTGTGACGACCATAGGAAGCCGCTCGAGCACTCACTATCCTCCATTTTATGGAGGGGACGCGGGAATAAGGTCATCGTGTCATAGGGGGCTGGGAATGCCACACTTGGCGAGACACAAACTTGCCTCGAGGTTGGCTTTCCTATGCAGCACATTGACAGGAGATTCGATTATGGCAGGGATTGTCAGGGACGCATTCCCTTTCCTTACTATCAGTTCCCCTATCTTGCAAGTTGAGCGCCATCGTAAACCCCAGGATCAATCAGATTTCCTTCACGTGTGTCGGTCGGCCTTGTTGGCTCTTTCTCAGTCCAGTGACATTTCTCGGCCTATGAAGGTCTTCTATTGTCTTCTAGTGGAGGGGGTCGTGAAGGATTCCCTATGTGAGCACCTTGACATGTAGGAGGATGAGTTTCACTCTTACTGGTCTTGGGCGTCAGTAGCGGATTATCTCTGTAATCCTGTGTTTTCGCTTACCTGGCAATTGGCTTGGAATCGGCTGCCTCTCCATGACAAGACCTCATATAGGGCTTGGCAGATTTGCCAGACTGTGAACGGTGGGGTCTTGGTTTAGAAGAAATAGCTTTGCACGCCTCCTACCATTAACCCTGTGTCCACCCCTTATGAGACCATGTTGGCGAGTTAATGGCTCATCTTGCTCCCGAAAAGCTCATGCCCATTGATCGTGCATATGTGTGTGACAATGTTAGGGTTCCTAGCCCCACTAAACTTAAAGTTAGTTCAGGTTTGCTAAAAGTTTGTTTTGTTTTTTAACACCTACTGACCCGTGTGATGACAACAACACTGAACAGATGACATTTTTTCTTTGTTTTTTTTTTTGCCACATGTATTTCATATGACAAAAATAAGCAATTTAAACAGCTATATTTTTAGTTATGAAATATTTTTCTGAGAATTTTTCCCAAAGACCCCTTTTTCGTTGTTTTTGTCCCTAAATTTGAATTTAAAAAATAATTAATATTTGCAGTATGTCTCTCACTGAAAAAGATTTTGATTATATATATATATATATATATATATATATATATATATATATATTAGAAGAAAAGTTTTGACAATGCGATATTAAATTTTCTTTCTAAAAGACAAACATTTCTAAAATAAATTCAGTCATTTCGGAATAAGTTCTGAAAGTTTCACTAAATTGCAACAATTATTTGATTTTTGCAATAATTTCCAAATTTATGTGTTTTTTAAGTGAAAAAAAGCTAATGCAAAATAGGTGATCTTTGACCTTAAAAAAAGCTTTTCAACCACAAATTCAAACGTGCTAAAAAGGAATAAAAAATGTCAAAAAATAATTAAAAAATACTTTGGTCTCTACTCTTATTAATAACAAAGTTTTTCGTTATAAAACGTTGTTTTTATTAAGTCTGGGGCCTCTTTTCATCAGGAAAAATGCCACTTTTTCAGCGAAAAATTGGGCATCCCTACACAAAATACATCCGCCAATCTGCAACAGACCAATAGACACTGCAACCACAAATAATCGAGCTTTTTTCCAAAATTTTTTAAAGTTAATATTAAATTTAAATTTCAGTTTATTAATGTCAAAAAATAAAGATTCTTTGTAAAAAAAAATAAAAATTGATCTCCCGCCATAAAAGACAAAACAAAATAGCTTTCTTTAGCTACCACCCCATTAATTTTTTTTTTAAATCTATTTTCTTTTTAAATATCGTAACCTCAAATCTTTATTACATTAATAATACTAATTAATAGAAATTATGAAAAAGAAAAAAATCCAGATTACGAAGTTCGGGTATGTTTTTTTTTAATTTAAGAAATCACGTGGTGAGGAGCAGAATGAGAACTTGTTTTTGCTTGTGTCGGGCGATTAAGTTACATGACAAACTGAACTTGCTACGAGTATTAACTTTATAAAATTTAATTATAAATATTCTACATCTGGGGTGTTTACTGTTGAGTGTAACTATAATAATAATAATATGGAAAAACAAACAAACTTCTGATCGCAGTGCCTATTATTCTTTGTACAAATCTGCCCAAAAAAGTTGTCATCCACACACCATTTTTCGTTCGCGCACCGAAAATTATCTTTTTTAATATTTGCATTTTTACTGCGCAAAAAAACTATTTAATAAGAAAAATTATTTTTCATCACTAAAAAATGGTAAAACTTAACGAAAATGAAAGGAGAAAAGAAAACTATGTATTTTCCCTCGAAATATTTTCGACATACGGATCAATGATTCAAAATTGAATATTATTTATGAATCTTAGTACAAGACAGCACATATTGTAAATAGCTTCGGTGAGTTCAATGATTAGAAATAAAATAGAACATATATTCAATTACACAAACAATACATCAATATTTCTATTTGGCGGGAAGTAGAGTAAGTATGCCCGTGTTTAACTAGCAATTTTGACTTTTGTTGAGTCAATTGATATTCGTCAATTAACATTAATTTTTTATAAGAACTGATAAAATTAAAATAACACCTGAAAAATAATTTGACAATAAATAGTAATTAAATTTTTAATTACCAATACCGCTATCGGCTCAACAAAAACAAAAGTTAATTTTATTATTTTTGCATGTTGATAAAATAAAATTTCACTGCATATGAAGTTTAAGTTACTTGGAAATAAAGATAAAAATAAGCTACTCGAATTTCTCCATAATTCTGTTTACGTTTTTCTTTAAGTCTTTTAAAAGTAAGAACCTAACGTATTTTTGTGATATGTGTCCTTTAAAATAATTTTTAAAAAAAAGGAAAGTTTCCAACAATAATAAAATGTAAAAATGCTAACATTTTTAATTTAAATTATAAATAAACTTATTTCCTTTTTTATTTATTGCCGGAATTACTAAGGATTTTTATGTTGTTTCATGAAAAATTTTGAAAATTATCAAACAAAACTGTAATTAATTTGGTTCGCATTAGGCTTGTAGAACAAAAACAAAAATATAATTTAGAAACAAAATTTAACTGAGTTTTTTTCTCTCTCGTAATTCTTATTTACAAGAAAATGTCCAACTTCTTGTTTAACCATAAAAGTGAAATAAAACATACTAGTTCTTGTTATTTAAGTTTTATAGATAAACAATAAACATTAATATTTTATTCAGGTGGAAAATTCCTAATTGCATTTTTCTTAAAATAAAACAGAAATTTGAAGTGTTGATTGTTGAGGCCGAGGACGGAAAATTGAATCAATTATGAATCCCTATATTTTTTACACTAACAGTGTTTTGTTAAAGAAAATAGTTATTAAAAATGCTGCAATATAAAAAAAAATAAAAGTCACTGGTTTTAATTAGCTCTACAAACTTACTTGAAGATCCCATTTAACATTTTGTAAGAAAAACATGGCAAGAGCTGAGTTGGTTCCAGTCACATTAACGAATTCGTCACACCTTCGTTTGCATTCATCTCCGCTTGGAAGATATTCCGCTTCGTCCTCACTAGAATCCGACATGACGGGTCTTAAGCAGCTTACCTTTTGATTAATAAAAGTTTGAAAAGTGAAAATGCATTTCAATAAGAGTACTTTTCAGAGCCACTTGAAAACTCTTATCGGAGTTAGAGAAATACGAATGCGTAATGCTGTCAGCAAAAGTTTATCTCGATTATTTCCCTTGATAAAGAAAAATAGCCAAAGATAAAAAGCGAGCAATCATGAAGTCATTTTTAATACCACAATAATTTATAAACGATTTCGTGTGGTCAAGCCAGAAGTAATAATTGGAGTTAGTTCACTACAAATAAAAGTTGTTGAATATAATTAAAACGAACCGTTAAAGCGCATTATCTGTGAGCAAGCTCTACTACTGGTAAATCATTTTTTTTGTGAGTTCAATCCTCACTGGATGCCTCATATGGGCACTTTGACGTGGTGTAAATGGCGAGCAAGCTTGTCTCGCTAAGTATTGTAACATAACAATAAGTTACGACGGAGTAGTGAATTCGATCCTCATTGTGTGCTCCATATTTCGGCTTTGTACTAACGGTTACGCTTAAATTAATTAGAGCACTTCAACGTGGTGTATGGTTAGCAAGCTTGTTTCGCTAGTAGATCAATTATTGAGTAGCGAGTTCGATACTCACTGGGTGTAATGGAAAAAAAACTATTACTGTATATTTTTGAGGGTTCGGATAAAAAAAGATTGGGAAGATTAAAGATCAAGTGACAACAAGGTGCACCGTAAAAATAATGGTGAGAGATACTTCGTGTTGTATAAAACCAAAATTATTTCAAGAGCAAATTCTGCTAAATATTAAAGATGCATAAATTTGATGGTTCGTGTGTCTTGAAAAGGGGGTAATATATTCCTGGACAAGTAACTTATTTTTTCTAAAATTAGGCTCAATGTTAGTAGTGGGAAAAAGATCAACTTTACAATCAAATCAATCAAATAACATAAAATATCACAAGAAAAATGCCAGCATATACAAAAAAGTGCAAATTACAATAAAGATGGTACAATAAATATATTTATTATTGTAAACAATACAATAATTGTAGCACAAAGCTGAAGTGGAAGTGGGAAAAGGCTGGTCTTCGCTATCTATCCTAGTCCTAGTTAGTTACAATCATGACCCATTCATCCAATACTATTTACCCAATTACAAAGAACTCATCCATCACCATTCAATCCTGCATATACCACAATACCACATATTCACTGGGGACCTAAAACGCTCCATGATATAAAAATCTCATGAACGTTCATAATGTCTATTTTTTTTTTATCAAAAATATATAAAAATTCATGAATCATGAAACGAGGGGGAGAGAATGAACCCACAAAACTAACAAAAGATTATAATAAAACAAACTAAAACAAGAAACACAATAATGGAGAGAGAAGGGAACCTTGAGGCAGTGTAATGGTTAGCAAGCTTGTCTTGCAAGAACAATTAAGACTGAGTAGTGAGTTTGATCCTCACTGGGTGCTCCCTACTTTCGGCCTTGTGCCACATCTAAGCTATGCTTGGAAAACCACTACTAATGGAGAGAAAAGGGTAAAAATAAATGACAGAATGGAGAATCAAAGTCTGACCCTGAGAGCCACTTGAGGTAGAAGGTTACAGAGTAAGAGGCACAATTTATACAGATATTTGGGGAAGATGACAGTTAACCTTAGATTTGAACAGGTTGAGATTGTAGTGATTAGGAAAGTATCCTCATGGGAGTTGGTTATACAGAGCAGTGGTCTATAGGAAGAAGCTGCTCAAGTGGAACTTACTTCTCATCAATGGAATATGGAGGAAATGCAGGTAGTTCACTACAATATACATAGCATGGCAGGGCAGATTAGAACTGATAGAACTAAGGAATGTAGTTTGTCTGAGCACTTTCCATGAAAGTAGCGATAGAGCAGTGACAGGCTTGTGACATTTCATCTATTGACATGGTGGAAAATAATTTGTCACCCACAAGAATGTGGATATGCTTTTGGACTCTGTCAAGACTGGAAAGTGAGGACTGGGCAACTCTTGCCCAAATATGACAATAGCACTCCATTCTAGGCCTGATATGGCTCTTGTAAAGGTAGTGGATAGTACAAGGAGTCATGTACTTAGGAACAGATATTTTTCTTGCATTTTTAGCAATGGATTATATGTATGACTTCTAATTGAAGTCTGGGTTCAGTCTAAGGCCCAAGAGTCACTCAAGACCTGGGGCCTCCCTTAGGAAACATCCATTCATCATGACTGGTGGTAATTCAGGGTCCGATTGGCAATGATGGAATAACTAGTTTGGTTTTTAAGGCATTGAATGTAACCAGTCAGTTTTTCCCCCCACTGAAATGTTAGATTAAGGAGGAGAGATAAGCTGCAGTTACTTCATATGTGTTACCTTGTGTCAAACAAGGCCAAGCTTAGTAAATAGCAATGTAAGTGTGTAGTTAAGTAATACTGCAAAAACATTAATTGTATTTTTTGTAACTTGACAAACACAAAATAGATATTTTATTGGTGTTTGTTTTATTATACTGAGCACTTATTTATTTTTGTCCAAATAGAGAAAAAATTGAGAATTTCCATCTGGTTGAAAAGTTTCATAGCAGACTGAGGGGAAAATACTCAGCTACATTTTAAAATAAATGACTAGGGTTCACATTTCTTTCAGATTTTAATTTTCAATAATTCTTAAAAGCCTCTGTTCAGAGATATTTCAGACATTTGAGAAACCATATAATAATTATCGATGCGTATTTATTTATATATTTCCCGTTCCATCTGTAGTGGGAAGGGAGGTAAATCAGCTTAAGTTAGTAAATTTATGAGTAATTACTTCCCTTAGTTGCTTTAATAATCTATTCAAAGAAAATATTTATCTGTATTTAGACAAATTAGACCCCAAGAAAAATTAACTGTTTAATTAATCAGTTCCTTTACACATACATTTCTTAGATTGTAGTCTTATTTTTTTCAAGCCTTTCATCTGAAGAACTTTGAAGACCTTTGTGTATTAAGTGATCATCTTTCTTTAACTTAGTCTTGAAATAGGCATTGTCATCGTCGTCTTTGTCGTTCTGTTGTTAGTCTTTTTCTTCCGAGAGATATTTCCATTTCACTAGTGTTAAGCACATAAAATTTTTAACATGAAAAGATATTGAGTAAGAAGTGATTTATATAATAGCAGGAGTAATCAATGAATCATAGATACCATTTAGGGAACGGATTAAATAGTTTATTGGCCTCTATTTTAGTTGTAAATTTGTTATTGATGGAGCTTTTGTGGCCCTGAAGCTTGAACAGATAGGGGGGGGGTTCCTTCATTCCTTCATTCCTTCATATCCAGCAACAATAGATTTTGAGAATCCAATTACCAAAATGTAGGCTTTGAATATATTCTGGCAGGTTCACATATCGGGGGGGGGGAGTTTTATTTTATTAGTATACTGAGACTTGTAATGGACCCCCTGGAGGAGGCCTGTTATAATAGGGCCTCTGCATCCAAATAATCATGAGTCACAAGAGACCCACTAATATTTTTAAAAATAAAAGACATGAAATCTGACAGGTGAAACAAAAATGGACAACAGAACGAAGGTATTTAAAAAAAATTATGTAAAAATTTATTTATATTGTATACAAAAGTACGTGTTTGGATTAAAGGAACATGAACAAACAATGACTCAAGTAATGGAGGCAGAAGTAAGTAAATAAGTAAGTAAGGGATACTGACCGACTACAAGATCTAGATACTATAACTGTGACTAAATGGTAAAAGTTGTCATGTGAGTCCACAGTTTGAAAGTTCAGTTCATATATCTGGCAAAAGTGTTGAAAAGTTGTCAAATCTAATGGTGAACCTTCCATAGTATTATAATTTAAGTGTATTGAGTAGGCTATTTGAAGTATGGACAATATAGCCAAAGAGGAATGCTAGAAATAAGAATGGATAGGAACACCCAACTAGCGTCCAGTTGGCTGAACAAAAATAAATGGGCACATATCTCAATACATAACCGTCTAAAAGCCCTGGTCACAATGGCCAGGGATCTGTGTTTCGACTCCTCCTCCTTGATCATGTGAATAAAGTAGCAAAAGCCTATGATAGACTCTTACATGCTAAATTAAATGTTCTCCTTAACTCTTCAGTGTTTTTGGGTATTATCTGCCCTTAGAAGACCCACTTCCTGTCCCCATTATAGTAAAGGCTGTTGAAGTCAATCCCGAAGTCGAAGTCCGTTGTATCACAACAGGTACTGCAAACCACTAAGAAAATTTTGAAATTTGACCAATTACAAGGAAATTTTGATGCTATATGAAATGGGTACCATATTCTAAGGCCCAAACTAGCTACTTCAACCCACTGGATTATGATTCTATCACAAAAATGGACTTATTTTAATAACAAATGCATTAAAAAAATAACTCATCAATTTTATTGAAAAATTTACTCATTAAATAAAGTTCTTTCAGGGGATCCTCTGGGATTAGGGGCCCTGAAACATAAGCATCATTTGTTTCATAGATCTGCCACTGAAAACAGTTGTATATATTGTATTTATCAGTAGAAAACATAGCTACTATAATTATTATTTTTTAAAATTTAATTTAATCATTTAATAATTAGAAAATAACTGTTCCAATTAAGAGCTCCTATTCTCTCTAAACTTTACAATAAATGCCCGGCTGCTTCTTGCTTTCCAGTTTGTTGGAAACCCTCTTCTATAGTTACAATCTTTAAGAAGACTGTCTGATCCTTCTAACTATTAGCATATTAGCCTTCTACCTCTTTTTGGCAAAGTACTAGAGGGCCTCATCAACTCTGAATTGGTCACACATCTCACAGCACATGGTGTTCTTCTAGAGAAGTAATATGGCTTTCACTTCTCTAGGTCAACTGCTGATGTTTTAATGATCATTAGTGAAAGAGTCTGTCAAGCTTTAGATAAGAATGGTGATGTTTGGGCAAGTTGCTTTGGAGACCTCAAAAGCATTTGACAGGGTTTAGCACAC